AAAGTTTTGGAAGGATTTCGTCTTGCGCGCGCGAATGTCCACTTTACCTTATTTTTTGCAAGGGATTCTTGAAATTTGATTATATTAGAACAAGAAATGTCATTTTCTATTGTTTTTTGCAAGGGAAAGCGGATTACAACAAAACAGCCGGATCCTGTACACACCCTCTTTTCTGAGGCTTCCTCACGAAAATGATGAAAATGTAGCTGCGGCCTCGGCGGCGCAGGGGGGGCGCGCACCAGGGGGCCCAACAATAATTATTCTTTAGAATAAATAATGTTCAACATATTTCAAGACTTACCCCGTCCCCGCCGCCCTTACAGAGAAAGTGCTGCACACTTTTGTGTTCCCAACCATCCTGCGGTGTTGGGTCCTTGTTTTGAAGAGACGTCGCCCCGCGTTCCTTCTCCTCCCCTCCTCCTCTCCACTCCTCCTCCCCCTCCTCCCCCCTCCTCCCTGCGTTTCACCCACCCAGTGCAGCGTTTCGTGGCCCTATAGGGAGCTCCACCGAAGGCCCCAGTGGCAGCGTTCGCATGGCGGCCCCGCCCCGTTTTGGCGCACCCCTCACGAGGATCGTGGCCCCATAGGGAGCTCCACCGAAGGCCCCAGTGGCAGCGTTCGCATGGCGGCCCCGCCCCATTTTGGTGCACCTCTCACGAGGATCGTGGCACCATGGGGAGCTCCACCGAAGGCCCCAGTGGCAGCGTTCGCATGGTGGCCCCGCCCCATTTTGGCGCACCCCTCACGAGGATCGTGGCCCCATAGGGAGCTCCAGCGAAGGCCCCAGTGGCAGCGTTCGCATGGCGGCCCCGCCCCATTTTGGCGCACCCCTCACGAGGATCGTGGCCCCATAGGGAGCTCCACCGAAGGCCCCAGTGGCAGCGTTCGCATGGCGGCCCCGCCCCATTTTGGCGCACCCCTCACGAGGATCGTGGCCCCATAGGGAGCTCCACCGAAGGCCCCAGTGGCAGCGTTCGCATGGCGGCCCGGCCATTTTGGCACACCCCTCACGAGGATCGTGGCCCCATAGCGTCTCGCACCGAATCGTGGCCCCATAGGGAGCTCCACCGAAGGCCCCAGCAGCGTTCGCATGGCGGCCCCGCCCATTTTGGCACACCCCTCTCGAGGATCGTGGCCCCATAGGGAGCTCCACCGAAGGCCCCAGAGGCAGCGTTCGCATTGTGGCCCGGCACCATTTTGGCGCACCCCTCACGAGGATCGTGGCCCCATAGAGAGCTCCACCGAAGGCCCCAGTGGCAGCGTTCGCATGGTGGCACCGCCTCATTTTGGCGCACCCCTCACGAGGATCGTGGCCCCATAGGGAGCTCCACCAAAGGCCCCAGTGGCAGCTTTCGCGTGGCGGCCCCGCTCCATTTCGGCACACCCCTCACGAGGATCGTGGCCCCATAGGGAGCTCCACCGAAGGCCCCAGTGGCAGCGTTCGCATGGCGGCCTCGTGTCATTTCGGCAAACCCCTTACGAGGATCGTGGCCCCATAGGAGCTCCAGCGAAGGCCCCAGTGGCAGCGTTCGCATGGCGGCCCTGCCCCATTGCGGCACACCTCTCACACGGTTCGCGGCCCCATAAGGAGCTCCACCGAAGGCGCCAGTGGCAGCGTTCGCATGGCGGCCCTGGGCCATTTCGGCACACCCCCACGAGGATCGTGGCCCCATAGGGAGCTCCACCGAAGGCCCCAGTGGCAGCGTTCGCATGGCGGCCTCGGCACACCCCTCACGATGATCGTGGCCCCATAGGGAGCTCCAGCGAAGGCCCCAGTGGCAGCGTTCGCATGGTGGCCCCGCCCCATTTTGGCGCACCCCTCACGAGGATCGTGGCCCCATAGGGAGCTCCACCGAAGGCGCCAGTGGCAGCGTTCGCATGGCGGCCTCGTGCCATTTCGGCAAACCCCTCACGAGGATCGTGGCCCCATAAGGGAGCTCCACCGAAGGCGCCAGTGGCAGCGTTCGCATGGCGGCCTCGGGCCATTTCGGCACACCCCTCACGAGGATCGTGGCCCCATAGAGAATTCCTCTTACTTCGCCCCACCTGCCCTGCGGTATTCACGTTTGCATATGCTTGGGTCCTTCGCCAGGGTAATTTTTTCCACATGTTTTTTTGTTTTTTCAGCCCTGGGTCTTTGGTTGCTTTGGTTTTGTTGGTTTCCCTTGTGCTTTTTGGTTTTTCAATGCCCAGAAGGTTTTTGTGGTTGGTGCTTTCCAATCGAATCCCGTTGTGGTGCTTTCCAACGCATTTCTGTTGTGAGAGTTTCCAAGAGAATCCCTTTGTGGCGCTTTCAAAAAGATTCCTGTTGTGAGGCTTTCCACTCGAATCCTTGTAGCGCTGTCCAATCCAATCGAATCCCTTCGTGGCGCCTTCCGAAGGACTCCTGTTGCAAGGCTTTCCAATCAAATCCCTGTGTGGTGCTTTCCAAAGTAGGATTCCTGTTGTGAGGCTTTCCAATAGAATCCCTTTTGTGGCGCTTTCCAGTCCAATAGAATCC